AGACAGGAGCTTTATGACATTAAGGACCATCACAAGCTTAGATCTGGAGTAGCAACCTCAGATCTAAGCTCCAAACCCGAAATAGATCTCAAACAAGCTAAGGAACTCCAAATCAACCACCAAGGATGAACCCAAAAAGGAAATAGCTTAAGATAATGGCTCCGTACCTCTGAGATGTGCCCAAACTGATGTAGATCCCAGATCTACGCAAGCCCCTTGATGCTAGCCTCCAATTTCTCAAGCTCCTTCCACCAAATTCCTCTTCCCAGCTCCAATCTCCTCAACAATGAAGTCTCACACGAAATTAGGGTTTTCTGGAACTCTCTGGGGGATTAGGAGGCTGGGAAAAGGACATAAAGTCCTTTAAATAGGGTGCAACCCTCGGGATTAGGGTTTTCTCATTCCAGCACCAACTCGTCGAGTCCAAGCCGCCGACTCGGCGAGTTGGCCACTTAACCCGCGATCAATCCCGCTCCGACTCGACGAGTAAGCGGACCTACTCGTCGAGTCCCCTTCCTAAATGTACACTTTTGCACCCTTCAACTTCTTGCTTCCGAACTTGGGATGTTACATATATGCGTTGGAAACAGTCAAATGTTGTTCAGTGAGCAATAGACTCTCCACGAATGGTTTCTCGTGGATGTGGAGATTTGAACCGTTAGGACCGATCAAATTAAATGAACTGTTGCAGTTATACATGGATATTGGAAACTTGAATGTCGTGGAAAAATTCAACTTTGGATTCAGCTTCCTCCTCAATCCTAAAGGGGAATTCACTGTAAATAGAATGAGAAAATTCATGGAGTCAAAACTAATTGTATACAAGGGAAAGACAATTGGGTGGACAAAAACAGTACCTTTGAAGGTGCACTGTTTCGTTTGGCGTGCAACATTAAACGGGATTTCGGTGGCAGAAAACTTGGTTTCGAGGGGTATACCTACTGTTGACTCGAGATGCCCAATGTGTAATTCGGATTCAGAATCAGTTGATCACTTGTTAGTCAACTGTGAGTATGCTAGAGAGGTACAACAATGGAATTTTAAATGGTGTGGAATTGGAGACAGGGTTTTCATGGGTGTGAGTGATTTCATCGATGTTGCGGCTACTTGGGGGAGTTGACCAAAGAAAAAGGATATTCTAATCTCTATTTTCTACTGTCTGATTTGGAAGATTTGGATATCAAGGAATGATAAGGTTTTTAAGGGTATCGCGGTGACTCCCACTAAACTGGCAGACAATATAATCTCTCTCGTCTATAATTGGTGCAAACACAGAGGAAATGTTTCGTGTGGGAGCTGGGCGGAATGGTGTATTTCACCTTTTACTCTTTTTGTTTCTTAATTTTCTTTGTTTTGTTCTCGTTTTTTTACTTTATTGCCTTTGTAGCTCCTTGCTATTGGGTGTTGCCCTCTTTTAATGAAATATTTGCCGTTTCTATAAAAAAAAGACCTAACTTTTTAAAATCACATGTCATTTATGTTGTATGGCAAAAATAACATGATAAATAATTTATGGCTTCAAAGCTCATATGACATCATGACATCCCATGACAACATCACATGACATGCTTCATTCCTTCTATCCTTATAATAAACGATATAACATATTTATTATATTATCGTGTAATTACATATTTTTCTTCACCCCTACGTCTCAGCCCCATCCTCCTTTACTATCCCATTAATTTTCAGCGTCCCTTGAGAAAGCAACAACAATTAATTACACATTCATAACAACATATAATATCATTATTGAATATGCATTTTCTTCGAAACATTCTAAGATTTCCATATTTGATACACAGTGTTTCTTCACGTTTCTCATTATATATATATATATATATATATATATATATTATATATATATATATATATATATATATATATATATATATATATATATATTTTGTTATAATATCATTATTGAATATGCATTTTCTTCGAAACATTCTAAGATTTCCATATTTGATACAGTGTTTCTTCACGTTTCTCATTATAATATATATATATATATATTATATATATATATATATATATAATATATATATATATTAAAGCACATGGCAAGTTTTAACAGAAACTTTCCATGTTTATAATTTTAACACTATATTTTTATTTTTTCTTAATTTTGTCACTAAACTTTCAAAAAAAACTTTTATTTTTTATAATTTTGCCACTTTATTTTTACTTCGTCATATTTTTGCCACTTAATATTCACTTTTACTTCTTTAAAACATTTTTTCTTTATTCTTTTATAATTTACCACTTTACTTTTACTTTTTTATAATTTTGCCACTAAAATTTGAACAAACTTTTTCTCTTTATAGTTTTGGTACTTTATTTTTTACTAATTTTGCCACTAAAGTTTGAACAAACTTTTCCTCTTTATGATTTTGGGACTTTCACCCGTACAATGCACGGGCCTTTTCCTGGTTTTATATCATAACTAAAGATTTGAATTTTTTACGATATTTTGTAAAGCTATGTTTGGGAAAAATCTTGACAGAAAATAACAATAATATATATATATTATATATATATATATATATATATATAATATATATATATATATATATATATATATATATATATATATTATAGAGGCCAGGTTAATGCTTTTGTGAAGGTATAAACTTAAATTGTTATTCATGAAAAACAATCTGTCCGTCTGAATTCTTATATATGTTGGCTAAACACTTAAAATTTAGTTGCAATATTGCTTAAGATATTTCAATGCTTTTTACTACGTACCATGTAAAAGAAAACAAGAAACACAGTGCTTGCGTAAGTTACGTCCATACATTGAGCTATCTATATACGGTGGTCAACCTCTTTTATTTTACACTCTTTTAACTAATTATAATTTGCGAAAATGACTCTAAAGGTCAGAGGCAGACGCAGAAATACATAGTATGTATTGGCGAAGTTGAAATAGGTGTTGCTGGTACAAAAAATAGATATAAAAGTCGAAAAATAGAAATTTTTTCCATTGCGGACAGAAAAAATAGGTGTTGTTGGTGCCACATCGGGACATCTACTAAAACCGCCCCTGCCGAAGGTAAATATCTATTTGTTTCGTTAATATTTTGACAATTTATTTTATATATAAAATTGACTAAGAAACTTGTTAAAAGTATTCAAATTTTATCATTGTGACCGGTTATCTAAGGTTGCAATTGACTTGGCGTATAAGTGACATCCACGTGTCAATTTAAAATAAAACTATTTTACGAAGGTAACTATCTATCTGTTTTGTTCACATTTAGTTGACTTTTTTTTATATACATGATCGACCATCAAATTTGTTAGAAGTTTTCAAATGTTATTATTTGTAACTAATAATCAATTTTAATGAATAAGTAACTTTGTAATATATCTTTAAAATTTGATTTTACTTTTAAAATTATTTTTATTGCATTTTATATATTATGACGAATAAATTCGATTTTGTTGAATTTTCCTATAGCTACAAAATTTGTTACGGAAAAATAGTTATGAGATTTGCTACGAAATAAAGCTATGAAATCTACGATGGAAAAATGGCTACAAAAGTATGGTTATGAAATTTGATACGAAAAATGGCTACGAAAATATGATCAAGATATAACATTTAAGCATCTATTTAAAGATTACAAATATTTTAATTAGAAGTGGAAGTTTGACTCCCTACTTATCTCAAAATTGTGATGAGATTATTGATGAATAAAGACAAGATGATCATGATTTAAATAACATTGTATGTTTTCAAATTGTTTTTATCTCAAAATTGTTATACTTGTAAAATACACAAATACTTCATATTGTGATAAATAATAGATGATATATCGCCACAAGACACATTCTGGTTATTGAATTTATTCATCGCCATAAACGTATGAAATAAAAGAAAAATAAGTATCAAAATAAGCAAATGGATAAACAATTTTTTTTCTCTATTATTAAGATAATTCATAATTGATAATAATTGGTTTATCAAAAAAAAAATATTTGATCATCATAAATGACATTGCACATTCCTAACTAGGTTGATGCTCAATCACTCAATTGTATACAAAAAAAAAATAGTTGTCTAAATATGAACAAAACAAATAGATAATTACTCTCCTAAAATAATTTTTTCCTTTTTAGTGTGCCACAAAAAAATCATGCATAAACAAAGTAAGTTATAATCTAAGATAGCCAAACACAACTGTAATATGTGAACATTTTAAAAAATTCGTTTGTATAGAAGAAAACGAAGTTGCCAAAATAAGAACAAAACGAATAGATAACCACCATTCTAAGTTATTTTCTGGTTTAGTTTACATATTTTTTTAGTTCTACTTATTTTAATTCATTATGCAAATGTACATAGTCGACTTTTAACCATTACTTTTCCACAACAATCATATGCAAATTTGAGTAATTCAAACCAAAAGATATACGATGTAAGGCAAAAAAGCTTGAGGTGCATGATGCATTAAGCCAAAGTTTAATACTCAATTCCAACAAGTTATGTCAAATTTGATCAATTCTAATGCAAAAGATGACATATTAGAATCCGTATTTTGATTTTGGAGCAGGTAAAACTGAAATCACAACCACTATGTAAAAACCACATCACAAAATCTTGTTCCCATTATCCCAGATATTCTGCAAAAACCATAACATTTTCTTTTCGTCCTATGTCAATCTTGACGAATCTCCATATTTTCTTCTCTTGGTATTACGTATCACGTTCCAACCGATTCGTTCAACCATTTTCTTCTGAACATGTGACATCAAACCTAACGCGTCCTGTAGAACTTATCTTTAAACTTCAATATGATCTTCTATACCCACTGCAAATTTCTGAAAGGATATATCATGCAAGTATGTATTTTGAAATGGTCATAGCAACCTATTAGTGGCAAATACCTAGCTAATCCTGGAGGGTTTGGTAAGAGTGGTGGTTGGTTAATCATTCTTGAGATCTCTCTTTATAAGAACACTGATTTCAGTTTCCAACATGCAATCATTTCTCAAAGAAAACCCTTTTAGTTCATTCATGGCTTCTCTTCTCTACACTACCTTTACTGTATTAATGGCTATCCTCTCATCCTCGATTGTATGCTTCGCTTTTCCAGGGTTCAGCTTTGGATGGGGTGGTGGAGCTGGTGGGGACGGTGATGGGTCTTTTGGCAATGGCCAAGGGTATCCTGGTCTTTTCCCCGAATTCTACAGTTTCTCATGTCCTCAAGCTAATGACATTGTCATGTCCGTTCTTGAGAGGGTCATTGCAAAAGAGCCAAGAATGGCTGCTTCTTTACTAAGACTTCACTTCCATGACTGCTTTGTTCAGGTAATCCACTAATTATGTAACCTTTTTCTTGATGCTTCATGATACATTAGCGTAAATTGAATTTTAAACTCAAATGTTGCAAGTCCTTTGTGTTTTATAATTGAAATTGATTTGCTATACCTGTCTTTTAACAGGGATGTGATGCGTCTGTCTTGTTGGATGATAATGTAATGTTTGCAAGCGAAAAAAACTCTGGGCCTAATAGCAATTCAATTAGAGGATTCGAAGTGATCGATGAGATCAAGTCTAAACTGGAAGAAGCATGTCCTCAGACAGTTTCTTGTGCTGACATTCTTGCCCTTGCTGCTCGAGGTTCCACTGTTTTAGTAAGCATTCAAATCTTCATATAGTTCTTGTTGTTTTGAATTATTCCCCATTCACTAACCAAGATTTTCTTATAAAACAATGCAGAGTGGTGGACCTAACTGGGAACTCCCGTTAGGAAGGAGGGATGCAACACAAGCAAGTCTCAGTGCCTCAAACAAGAACCTTCCTCCACCAAACTCCACCATTCAAAACCTTATAAAACTTTTCCGGCGACAAGGGCTTAATGAAGTTGACCTGGTCTCGCTTTCTGGTTAGTAAAAAAACGGAAATAGTTATTGATCGAAACATTTCTTTAGTTTCTTGTTGGTTGTTATATGCTTAAATCAAGACTTATCTTTCAATATATTCTCGAACTTGTTTGATTTGGTGGGGGAAGAAATGATTTCTGGATTGTGTATTTGAGTTGTTTTCTTCGTTTGGTTTTTTGATTTTGATTCTATTTCTTGAAGGAGCCCATACCATAGGAATGGCTAGATGCAGTGCATTTAAGCAAAGGCTATACAATCAAGATGGAAACGATCAACCAGATTCAACCCTAGAGATAACCTACTCCAATGGTTTGAAAACAGTTTGCCCAAAAACTGGCGGTGATAACAACATTTCTCCTCTAGATTTTGCATCTCCTTCAACATTTGATAATACATATTTTAAGCTCATTATGTTTGGAAAAGGACTTCTAACTTCCGATCAAGTGCTTCTGGCTGGAAATGTTGAAGAAACTATGCTTCTGGTGAAGGCATATGCGGAGGATTATGCTCTCTTCTTTGACCAGTTTGCTAGATCTATGGTTAAAATGGGAAACATTAATCCACTCACTGGTTATCAGGGCGAAGTGAGGAAGAACTGCCGAATGCCCAACTAATTATATGATTTATATCTATATAACTATTCGTAGTATGAATTCATGAGCTGTATGATATGGGTTTATGTAAGTTGCTTATTTTCTTGTAATGCTTGAAGCCCTAGATTCTAATGAACTGATATATGGCTTCTTGTAAGTTGTTAGAATCATATCTATTTAGTGGTCCCAATGCAATGAACTTATTAGAGTTTACTTAATTGACACATCATCATTCTACTCTCCATACAACTTTGCAAAAAAAAAATCATACAAACTCTCCACAAGGTTTAATAGAACATATTTTTAATGATTAAAATGTTTCATTTTCGAATTGAAGAGTTCAATGGCTATCGAACTATATGTCTATTATATTGAATGCCAACATTGGATACCACAATGGTAAAGTTTAATTCATTGAAAGTCCTTTAGGCATGCCACCTCGTTGATCTAAGTCAATTACGGGTATCCAGCGGAAATTAAATAATTATATTTGAAATTTGATATTTATGATATATATTCAAGAAAAGTAAAGATCTTGAATGAATTGTTATACATAAATGGGGATAGAGCTAACTGCTTTTGGTTTTGGATGCGGATCTCTTGATGAATTTATATTTCACCATCCTTGCAATCTTGAAGAACCAGAAAGCACTTACTAACTGAAGTCCCAAGGCCATTGCCTACAGGTATTTGACATTAGCATCATTCACTTTAAGGTTTTTAAGGACACAAGTCAATAATGCGTACGTAAGATCATAAAAGTCTTTCAAAATGTGTAATGAGATTATACCTTGATGAGAATAGGATTATCGGCAGATAGTGTAACATAGCATAGATATGGTCCAACACACATCCTTGCAATTGAGAAAATCACTGCGAATGAAACCTGTAAATTCAACAAAGATATGGAATTAACGGCTATTATTGGAACACGTCAGCAAATTTAGAATATTTCAAGATTCCTTGAAAACTTTAATAAAAAGGAAATACTTTGATTTTTATAATACGAATATAGTACTATTTTTCAAAAAAATTCGTTGACTTGAGGAAAGGCAAGGAACTAACATCAGCTGCTAAATTGATATCGGTATCCTTATAACCAAGCTCTTTGAGAATCTCTCTTAAATGGAGAAATGGACTCGAGATTTCAGTGATCCACATTGTAACCATCATTTCTGAACCACACTGCAGATAATTTATGAAAACTTTCTAAAATATCAAAACCCCGATTCAATTCAAGAAAAAATAAACATAACAAGTTAAACAAAAGCAAAAGGGTACCTTCTCATAAGCAAGGCCTGCTACAACTCCAACAATGCTAACTAGATGATGAACAGAATTATCTATTTTTATATTCTTATCAAACAAACAACATACTAAATCATAGATTAAATAAGCAAGACTGACTGATAGAGCTCTCATCTGCACATAATATTCAAGAAAACACATTACTATATGTTAAAGATTTTTAACATAGATAGCGAAATTGCAACAAATTAAATAGTTTTCAAAACCTGAACAGGGGATGAGTTTGAGGCCAAGGGACAAACTGGGCATCTCCAGTCTTGAACAGACATAGAAGACAAGACAACCGCAAACAAAGCATGAATCGTCGAAACTATACGGTTACAGAAATCAAAAGACCTTTTCGGGAAAATCTTTCTTATTAACAAGAATGCACTTGTCCATGAGATGACTCCAGACACAACCAAATAAATCTTGTCATAGTGTTCCATGGCTTATCCAACCTGCTCCTTACTTCAAGTATCTAAAGCGAACACCATAAGATAGGTGAAGAGTTGATCAATCAAACACACATTTGATTGCACTAAGAAGAAGATGAAAAAACAAGAGACGCAATAAATTGGAAGGTTTTGGTTGACATAATTAGGTGGCGGTTGGCGTATATTAATTGGTGGGCATAGTGTGTTGTGGTAGGTTTGCTGTATTTACTTTCTATTTGTATATAATAGGGACATTTTACCAGCATAAGATATAATAAATCATGAATTCAACATCATCGATTAAAGTTCGCTTGCATGCAAAATTTGTTGTAAGGTGCGCTTCTTCTTAGTTATTAATTTGCTCAGTAATATATAAGCGTTTTGTTTGTATTCATTTTGTAGAAATTCTTGAGAAACCACATCCATCATGTTAATTTGCACAGACAATGCCTCCAAGGGTGATCTGACGGAAGTTTTAAATATGGACAATCAAACTGAACTGATGTGTGCATCTATTAGTTAATGTAGATCATTATTGAGGTAATTTCGTTTAGTACATTTTATGGGTAATATATATATATATATATATATATATATATATATATATATATATATATATATATATATATATATATATATATATATTATCGACTTTACAAGTTTTAATGCTCTAAATCTAACGACATATGCACATATTTGACTTGATTTCTAGGTATTCTTTTAACGACAATGATTTAATTGGAAGTAGGAAGATCATAGTGGGGACATACAAGTTACAAATTACAACTTACAAATTACTAATTACATGCCAGTATGGGATCACAAATCCACATGTACCGTGTTAGGAATAAGATCCAATAAACACACACAATAAAGATGCAGATAAAAAATAAGAACACAAGTATTAACTTGGTTCACAAGATAAGAGTAATCATGTTAATCCACATGCAAACTAGAGAGAGACTATACTTGTAGAAATTACAACCTTCACATATACACTTTCTGCATAGGGTTATAAATGTATATGTGTTGGTTATTTTCATAACCAAAACATAAATTACGGAAGTTTAAACTTTAGATCTTTATTCTCGAATCTACTAAAAGAAAACTGAAACATTAAAGAAGGATTATATACCTTGTTCCATTGAGATCTTCGGATCTGAAGACTGGGATAAGTTTTCCAGTTGATCTCAAGAACTCTTTCTAAATCCTTCAGCATACCCATCAACGAACTAGTGTGTATTGCGTGTATCTTTTCATCTGCTCCGCATCACATGTTATGCGGTGGAGATCGAAGACACAGATACACAGATACAAACATACATCTTGTCATTGTTAAAGGTCATTGGAAATGCAATAAACATGATATTGGGTTATCAAAGTGTATGCACCTCAAGAGGAGAGTAACATATCAGAACTTTGGAATTTCTTCTCAGATCTGATTTCAAGGGAACCACAATGTATGTGGGTGGTATGTGGTGATTTCAACGAGGTTTGATCCACCGAAGAGCGAAGTGGGCCAGTTTTCTCCGCCTCGGGTGCTCATAATTTTAATAATTTTATCGATGAGCTAGGCGTTGTCAATGTTAATCTCGACAATAGAAGTTTCACGTGGATGAACCCTGATGGTGCTAAATTCAGCCAGCTACACCGATTTCTCCTTTCAGCCAATTGTCTTGATATATGGACTAATGCCTCCATGATAGCCCATCCTAAATTACACTCCAATCGCTGCCCCTCCTCTTTGACCCCTTACCTAGTTTGGTCCAAGACTAAGGCCCAAACTCACAATCCAAAAGGCCTAAATCCTAATTAGCCACCCAAGGCCCAATTCATGGCCCAATTTTCCAGCCCAAAACCTGATGGCCCAAAACAACTAAGCCCAAAACATGGCCCAAACCGAAGCCCAAACACTGAAGTCCAATCCTGCTGAGTACATGGGGCGTACTCAGCTGTACGCTAAGCTTACACACAAGCTTGTACGCCCCATGGACTTCAGTACATGGGGCGTACTGAAGTCCAATCTTGCAAGTATTTTGAGGTATCAAGTTCATACGCAGCGCATACAAGCTTGTATGTCCAACATACTCACCCATTCAGCCAAATCTCATTTTTACTCCTTAACTCGTTAAGACATTGTTCCAAAACGTGGATCTGACTTCCTTGAGCTGGATAATCACGTAAAGTTGCTAACTTTACGTTCATGCATGGCTAAATGAAGCTCTTAAAGCTCAAAAGGACTTATTAGGTGACTTAATGCATGCATGTGACCATAGACCTCATAAAGCTAGCACCTTTATGATTAAGAACCTTATAACAAGCTCATATCTAAAAGAATAAGCCCTTCAACGTCTTAACTCATCAACCAACCCAAAAAGGGACCCCAAAAGCATGAAAATCAATACATAAAGAGATCTAAGCATTCAAAAGACAAGGTATGAACTTGATACCTCAAAATACTTGCAAGATGAGTGATGATTCCGGATCTCTAAGTTTCCCACCAAGCTATGAACCTTCCACCTTCTTCAATCTCTTCAAAATGAGCAAAATGAGCACCAACTTCTTCTCAAGAGTTCAAAAACACAACAATGGAGACTAAAAGGTCGGTTTTAGGGTTTAGGAGGCATGAAGGCTGGTAAAGAGGCCAACCCTAGATATTTATGGTCTTTATATAGGGTGCAACACACTTAAATTAGGGTTTCTAAAACTCCTCGTACGCCGAGCGTAACCCTCGTACGCCCAACGTACGAGGCCTAGCATCTGCGGCCAAGTCTACTTAGTACGCTCATCGTACACCAGTATACGCCCCGCGTACTTGACCTCGCACTAGTATGCCCTGCGTACTCCCTATGTACGCCCTGTGTACTAGGGTTTTCCTTAAACCCTAAATTCATCTGAAGGCCATAACTTCTTCATAATAAACCCGATTTCGACAATCCTTATATCCATGAAAAGGTAACGAGAAGCTCTACGCTTATATTAACTCATAGTTGCCTTAACATTTTCCGAACAAAAATCCAATTTCCATAAAAGCCCGAGCTGACACTTTACCAAAATACCCCTTGACTCCAAAACACAACCGAACACTCGGATCATCTAAATTACGCCACCCACATCCAAATGGGTCCATATCTCATTTCCTCAGAGATCCTAAGCCTGATAATACCTGATCTCTGGTCACCACCCCGAAATAGGAAACGATTCGGGACAGGGCGTTACATATTTTCTAGTCTCAGATGGCATTAACAATAGCTTCTTGTGGTTTAAAGTTAGATTCAAATACGGTAGAAACCTGCCTATAGAAAAATTGATGTAATTTTCTCTCTCGTTGTTTGTATGCTCTAGACTCTTGTTAGAGTTGGCGCTTTTTTCTACTGATATTTTTCTAAGCTATTAAAAAAAAATGTATATATAGATGGAGATATACCCTAAAGTGAGAGATGGAAGGGATATAGAGGATTTTGAGTCAAACCGGGAACTCAACCCACAAAATGTAAGTGAATATCTTATAAATCGGTCCATCAATTAAATCCTTCAAAATTTTAAAAGGAAAAACATCCTCGTAGAACATTACATCCCTGGAAAAGAAAACAGAAGAATTATCAAGACTATACAAGTTATATCCTTTCTTTTCATTAGAATAACCAATAAGAACACATTTTTCAGACCTTTCAACAAACTTATCTGACAAATTTTGCTTAACAAAAAAACATAAGCATCCAAACACTCTTAAATTTTCAAATTTCGCCAAACATTTGTAAATTATTTCAGAAGGGCACTTCCCTTTCAAAACTGCATTAGGAAGTCTATTTATTAAAAAAAGCAACAGTTAAAATAGATTCACCCCAGAAATTAAGAGGTAAACTAGATGAAACAAAAGATATCTAGCTACATTCAAAAGATGTCTATGTTTTCTCTCCACAACATCATTTTGTTGTGGAGTATAAGTACAAGTATTTTGATGAGAGATACCATTTTTATCAAAAAAATCTTTAAATTGAGAATTAACAAACTCAATACCATTATATGATCTAACAATCTTATTACTTGAATTAAAATGATTCTTCAAGAAATTATAAAACACAGAAAACAATAAAAAACTTCAGTTTTGGACTTTAAAAAATAAACCCATACACCTCTGGTGAAATCAACCACAATAATTAAGAAACATTTGAAACCATCAGCAGCAGCAACCCTATAAGGACCCCAAACATCCATATGTACTAAACCACCTAAAGAAACACTCTTATGTTCACTTAAATGGAAAGAGTTCCTAGACTGCTTAGCTTTGTGACAAACAACACAAGGAGGAAGAGACTCAGACCCAAAGGAGAGAACATCCATAAGAGAATTTAAAGACTGGATAGCAGGATGACCCAATCTATTATGGCAAGTAATTTTTGAAACATAACCATTAACCTTACTTAAAGAGGTCATATTACCTGAAGAATAAGAGTCTTCAAGATCATACAACCCTCCTGATTCACTACCAGTCCCCACAATCACCTTGGACTGTGAATCCTAAACAACACATTTAAATTCATCAAAAACAAGTTGACATTTATTATCCTTACAAAGTTTATGAACAGAAAGCAAGTTAACATTGAACTCAGGAACAACAAAAACATCAGATAAAACAAATGACTCAGACAATCTGATATTGCCAATTTTGTTGATCCTACCAGAAGATCCATTAGGGTGATCTACTCTAAGATCAAGTTTAGAAACATCAACTATGTTATCTAACTTAAAATCATTTTTGGTCATATGATGATTAGCACTAGAATCAACAGTCCACTTCCTATTAATAGACACAGAAGAGTTACAACAAATACCTGCGATATTTGCATATACTTCACTTGTTGAAGGTTTCTCATTAATGAGACTAAGAAACTTGGTATATTGCTCACTTGTGAGAAAAAAAATTTCAGAAGAATTGTTAGTTTTAACATCAGAATCAGAAGAACCACTAACATCAGAAGAGATAGAATTATTAGAAGGAAATGTCTTATTAATATTCTGAGACTCATTTTTAAATTTAAAATCTTTTGGAAAACCAATGAGTTTTTAACATATTTCAATAGTATATCCCTTAAAACCATAGTTTTTGCACAGATGATTAGAATTTCCATGAAACTTATTACGTTTCTGATCATTGAATTTACCAACAAAAGCAGTAGCTTGAGACTTAGTGGAGGACTGAGAAATGGAACCTCCTTTTTGATGTGATTCCTCATGAGATACAATTGAAAAAGCAGTTTTTACA